GTACCGGAGGCCGTGCGCGGTGTCTGGAGAAGGTGGTGTGTCCATCCGGCCGCCCTCCGCGGGTCTCTCTCTCGCTCCGCTCGCAGTCACGCCAAAGAGATTCTGCACTGCTTGAAGGAGAAGTTCTTCAGAGAGCTGCAGGACCTGGAGGTCGACGGGCAAAAAGTCGAAATGCCGCAGGCACTGAGCTGGTAAGTGAGAGGAGTCGCCCCGCGGATCCCCAGCATTGAACCCGGTGGATGGGTGTCTTCCTCTTGCCTCTGCCCTTTATGTCCGTCTCTATTTCCACCCCCTCCCAGGTATCCAGAAGAATTAGCCTGGCACACTAACTTGAGTAGAAAAATCTTACGCAAGTCACCGCAGCTTGAAAGGTTTCATCAGTTTCTGGTTAGCGAGACAGAATGTGTAAGTTTTGGATAGATCTTGATTTTTTTTTTCTCTCATATTTTATTTAAATGCATGAGAAATTGGGGCTGTACCTTTTCTCTCGGAAGGCAAGTGTCTTGGAAGAACGTGGATTTTATGTTGCAGTTGACAGTGATTCACCCTATGACTCTGACATATAACTGCAGCCACAAGTATTTCTTCAAAGGCTTTAATTGCAATTGCAACCAAAGGCTTTAACTACAATAAAACCCAAAGTTTAGGAATGTGAAAGTAAGCCTCTGTAAAATAACTAATTGCCATTGAAAAAAGAGGTGTTTAAATCTGATAGTGCATGCCTGTACATAACAAGACTTACCTTTAGTCATGGATGTATCTCACCTGGCTGATGTCAATTTCTCATCTTTTCTGAGCAGAAACTAAATCTTAGAGTTAATAACACTTGAATAAATATTCCCATATCAGAAATTTCGGTTAGGTGAAATACTGGTATTTTGTTGGTGGTGTTAAATGCTAACAAAACTTCGTTATAAGTTTATAATTGTGTGGTTTTGATTGCTTTAATATTTTGCTACATAGAGATGTAAAAAATTTATTGCAAAAGGAATGTGTGTTTTTGCAGAATAAAAAGATTATCAGTTTTGTTCTCTTTTTTTCTTTTCCAGGGAAATATCAGTCGTCAGGAGGCTGTTAGTATGATCCCACCTCTGCTGCTTAATGTTAGCCCTCATCATAAGGTAACTCTATAATATCTTGCCTACTGAGCTAGTTCCTAAAGGTGGCTTGTTTAAACTCTCACCTCAACCCATTGTATGACACAGGGTTGATGGTTATTTCATATGAGGCAAGGTCTTCTCATCTCTCTTAAATGAAGAATGAATTCAGTGATGGATCCACTCCTAACGTGAGACATGCATTTTGAGTTTTGTCTGGAGTTGAACAGGTAGTGAATGCGTTCAACTTGGTGTAAACCACAAACTGTGAGGGTATTTTTGCACACTTCTTATATTGCTTATACTAAGCTAGCAATATAAAATTTTTACATCAAATGTGACTCTATTTCAGTGAGTGTTTTGCAGGAATAGGTTTCACAAATTTACTCATAAATCTGACTCGGAACAGGTTCTGTATCCTCTCTTGTGACAAGACAGCAAGTAGCTGCTGTAATGATGCCTTGGCTTTTGTCATTTAGGACTTTTTTTGGTCCTTAGTGCCTCGCTTTCTGAGCTGCTAGCTATGACCAGAATCACAGGTTCCTTTTCATCCCTCATCATCAGTTTGCCGGACAATTTTCAAGCATGTTGAGGCATGCTTACTCTCCATTTTCTTTTGCATTATCTACAGAACTAAGTAGAAACCTCTAGCATCTCAATTGTTCCTTTAAGCACCAGATATGACACTGTCCTACTGAGCATTTTTCATAATACGTTAATGCTGCTGCATAGAATCGTAGAATGTTTAAGTTTGGAAGGGACCTTGAAGATCATTCTAGTTCCCACCCCCCTGCTGTGGGCAGGGACACCTCTCTCCCACTAGACCAGGTTGCTCAAAGGACCATCCTACCTGGCCTTGAACACTTCCAGGGAGGGGGCATCTCTGACTTCTTGGGCAACTTGTTCCAGTGCTTCACCACTCTCATGGTGTAGAATTTCTTCCTTATATCTAAATCTACTCTCTTGCAGTTTCAGCATGCATGGCAGCACCTTTATCACCTGGTCTCTAGAGCCCTGAGTGAATGCTCTTTGCATCTCTCTGGGGCCTGTCTTTTGCTTTAGTCTTGTTAATGCTAGGGACTTGCATGAAGTTCTCAGCAGATCTGTCCCTATCTTTTGTCCTGCTAGCTTTTACTGGAGCTAAAGGTCCAGAATGTAGAGTCATAGAATCATAGAATGGCCTAAGCTGGAAGGGACCTTGGAGATCATTTTAATCCAGCCTCCCTGCCACCAGGGACACCATCTCTCTCTCGACTAGATCAGGCAACACGTGAGGACTGAACGGGAATCGAACCCGCGACCTTAGCGTTGTTAGCACCATGCTCAACTGACTGAGCTAATCAGCCCCCTGAGTCATGTGTTTCTGAAAATCTAACTAGGCAAGAGGAAAGACTCTAAGCTTCCTTATTTAAGAAAACAGTGTTAGCTGTCAGATGGTTTGCCATGAAAGCGACTCTGTGAATGACTCCATCACAAGCCAAGTTTATGATGAAACAGATCACGTGTTAGCAGAATAGAACAGCACAGACACTGCCTGAGTGTCGCTCAGATGCTTCCCAAGTGCTTCTTCCGGGATATAGAAGCAGTTTATGTTGGCCTGATTTTTTTGCATTAAAATGAAAATGTACGAGGAAGAAGTAGCAGTTCACTTTTATAAATTTGTATAGTCATTTGTGTCATAGTTTTTTGATTTATTTAATGATAATTAAATAAAAGTTTTCCTTGCTCTTGAATGTAACTTTCTCCTTAATGTGTGTATGTAAAGTTCTGGTTAACTTCAGCTGGAATTGCTTGTGTGAGCTGATAAAAAATACACGATATCCCTGTATCTGTATTTTTTTTCAGCTATTGTGGTTTTTGCCTGCAAACCAAAGTCTTATAATTTAGGCTCTCAGAGATAAAATATACAAAGAACAGAACTGTAATGTATGGCTTTGCAAATAAGTGCTTAGAACAATCATAATTCTGCAAATGTATGCAAAAATACTTAATGTAAACAATAATACATAGTAAATTTCTCAAGTACTTAGAAAATACAAGGTACAAGGGTTTTTTTTAACTTTCTGGTGTTTATAGATTCTAGATATGTGTGCTGCACCTGGCTCTAAGACTGCACAACTCATTGAAATGTTGCACGCAGACATGAATGTTCCTTTCCCCAGTAAGTCTGGAATAACTATAAAGAACTTTTTTTACTTGGAATTTCTGATTTTTCTTGTAGAAGATTATTTTGATTATCGCAGATGAGTAAGTGCATTTTACTACGCATTGAATTCCCAAAGTGATTGGGTGTTGAGATGGGAAGTACCCCACCTTTTCCTTGAAACTTTTTGGGCTTCCTTGGCTTGAAGGAGAGAGATGGACTCTATGTGTGTGTATATATGTATATATATGTATGTATTCACAGTTCAGACTAGAGCAGACATGATGAGAGCTTAATTTTTTTTGTATAGTTTATGTTTAATGAGTAGTTAGTGGCCTGTGAGCCCTTGTGTTTTAATGGTATCCTGCACTCTTTTAAGTAAAAATCTCTAGTGAAAGGTTTACAAAGCTTTGAAGATAAGGCAGTAAACTGTGTAAGATTATTAGCTGTTGACCACTAAAGCATCTTCCCAACATTTTATGTTCCCAGAGGGTTTTGTAATTGCTAATGACGTCGACAACAAGCGCTGCTATTTACTGGTTCATCAGGCTAAGAGATTAAACAGTCCATGCATCATGGTGGTAAATCATGATGCTTCCAGCATTCCGAATCTACAAATAGATGTTGATGGAAGAAAGGAGGTCCTCTTCTATGACAGGATTTTATGTGACGTCCCCTGCAGGTATCTTGCATGCAATCTTCAGTACACAGATTTTACTGCGCTAAGCAGTGCTAGAATTTTTGTGTTACTGAGTTATGCTTTTTGGGTTGCTTAATAAGTTATGATTTATAGTGACTTCCAAAACAGGTGAATGCCTTAAGCTGTCTTAGGTAAGGAGATACCAAATCAAGGGGAACTTCTTTCATTCCAAGTGGTAATTAATTTGATCAGCTGAAGGGCTTCTAATTTTTACCTTACATTCAGGATACCAAAATATAAAGGTAGGGTAGAAACAAACAGTAAAGCATAGAGCTAGTTAACATGGGAGAGGGACTATTAATTTTTTGCTGCTCTAAATGACTCGGATATGAAGTGAGTTTTACCCACAAATAATGCAAATCTGTTCAACCTCTATCGCAGTGGAGATGGAACCATGAGGAAAAACATTGATGTGTGGAAAAAGTGGACAACACAAAACAGTTTGCAGCTCCATGGGTAAAAATGCTTATTATACATCTGCACTTCTTTCATTTCTCTCTCCTTTTTTCCCCCCATATCTTTAACATCTGCATGCATTCACATGTTAATATGTGACAAAGCAGAGACTAAGAAGAGTCACTTTCCTCTCAGATCAAGGGTTTATGTGGTATTCAGAGAAAGTATAGTATTTCAGATGTGAGGAGTGGGTGCTGAATCTAAATTGCTTGTATTCTTACAATTATCTAACATTTATGTTCACTGAATTAATTTAGACAAGGTAGCTAATGAAAGAGGAAACAAATCATTTGGTTATGAGTCTTAGTATTTAGGTAGGTATAATCATAGAATCATAGCATGTTAGGGGTTGGAAGGGACCTCTAGAGGACCTCTAGTCCAACCCTCCCACCAGAGCAGGGTCATCTAGGGTGAGCCATGCAGGAACGCATCTAGGCAGGTTTTGAAAGTCTCCTCTCTGGGCAGCCCATTCCAGTGCTCTGTCAGCCTCACAGTAATGAAGTTTCTCCTCATGTTGAGGTGGAACTTCCTGTGTTATAGCTTATACCCATTATGTACTGGTACACCATCTGGGTTTTTCATAAAGATACTGAGTACTGATCCTTGGGGAACACCACTGGCCACAGGCCTCCGACTTGACTCTGTGCCACTGATCACAACCCTCTGAATTCTGTTGTTGAGCCAGTTCACAATCCACCTCCAGTTCAATCATCTATCCCACCTTTCTTGAGTTTTCCTAAGAGAATGTTACGGGGGACAGTATCCAAAGCCCTACTGAAGTCAAGGTGTATGTCATCCACTGCTCTCCCTTCATCTACCCATCTGGTCACAAAATACTGTTGGAAAATAGAGATACTTGTAGAATTTAATAGGAAAGTTTTAAAGTTTTTAGAATACTGTACATAAATAGTTTCAGTTACCTGAGGTTGGTTTATCTTAACTGATGGTGAATGAGTACTTAGCCTAGTGCAGGCACATAGTAAAAAGCCGTAATTTAAACACGTATGAAAAAGCTGAGAACATTTTACTGTGTGTTTGTAACAAGCTGGGAATTCTGTCAGTTACTGTGACTCAGCTGACCTGCGGTGACTTGTTACTGGTTGGTAACTTGTTCATAACAACAGACTTAATTTTAGTTCCATGTAGGCAGATAGAGTATAAGCCAGTGATCTAGCTCAGTGATACTTTTCTCAGAAGGCCAATGCCAGCTAAGCTGTACTGTCTGTGATGTTTGTAATAGTGGGATTGCTCCTCATTTTAACTCTAGGTTTCTAAGAGGAGTTGGGTTTTGGGGTGTTATTTTTTCTAGTGCTGAGTACTTTATAACAAACTTGATTGGGCACTAGAAAGAACAAAATATGGAGTGTTTTGTTAGAAGGTATGCAGTTTTGTTAATGCTTGACCTAACTGCTGTGTTAATAGGTCTAACTGTGTGTTTGCAGTACAGACTGCACTAAGCTGACTTATTTAAAACTGACTTTAATTTGTGTACTGCTGACAGCTGTGGAACTCAATAGGTGCTGGCTTAGGCCTTGGGGAATTATGTGTCTGCGATATAGCTTCACCTGTAAGAAGCTTGATGGCAGATCTTTCTGGTTCCTCACAATGATACCTGGCCAGACCAAGAGTGTTCTGTTAGATTGCAGTTAAGAATTGCAACCCGTGGTGTTGAACAGCTGGCGGAGGGTGGAAGAATGGTATATTCCACGTGTTCGTTGAATCCTATCGAAAATGAAGCTGTGATTGCGTCTCTACTGGAAAAGAGTCAAGGTGAGAATGCGAGCTTGGACGGTGTGGGGAGATCTTTTTTTCTTAGCCTGAAAAGGGATATGGGTATGATAGTAGTGGTGATAAGCTTAATCTAGGCAACGTGCTCCTAGTGTGCAAAACTGCAGCAATTTTTTGGTACCAGGAGGATTTCAGTGGTATTATTATAAGCAGTAGCATTAAATGGGCCTAGATCGGGTGGAGGCCATGTCTGACATTCATATTTCCTTCAGAATACATGGCGTGGGACATTACTGCTCTACGCCAAAGCAGTAAAAAGCCCAGCGTTTACTTAGGCAGTTAGAGCAACGTTGCTGTGCACCAGTAAGTGGGAGCCACTGACACTTTTAGCATCCTTCGACACGCATCTTGACAGGCTTGGAGTCTTAATGTCCTTAGGCTCATGGCTTTTTTATTTTTGACTTGCATATGAGAGCTTGTCTAAGTTGCTGTTAAGTCTTCATCATCTGAACTAACAAGAGGTGGAAGAGTTGTAGTAGTAGGGTTTAGAAGCCCAAATTTCTGGTCTTGGGCTAGTGAACAGTTTTTTCTGAGTCAGTAGCCTGAAGTTTTGGAGAAGTCTAATTGGATTTTGCAGGAAAAGTTCCACAGACTTGAAATTGAGCCTTATACAGAGCAGAAGCAGCTCCTGGATTTGCTGGGTGGATTGCTCCTGGATGCTGGGTGGGCTCTGGAGGGAGAGTAGCTTGTTTGTGTGATGTTTTCTTTTTACCTATCACTATTCTGCCCCCAAATAATGCCTGAAATTTCATTGTCTCAGAAACAGCAATTTAGCTGAAATGCCTGTAGGTAGTTAGTAATTAACTATTTAATTTCTACTCGAAGGACATTTATTTTTAGGGCCAGTTTCTGTGGCACATTGAGTGCGAGAACACAGACATGTCCACTAAATTGTAGTATACTTGGCTTATTGAAGGCTGTAGCACACCAGAGACAAGTTTAATGACGACAAGATTGGAAAGTGGTAGGAGCTAGTTTGAAGCGCAGAGCAGTACAGATGTTAATGGAAGCCAGCAATTCCAGCACCTGGGGCAAATTGAATACTAAGAGCCAAGGATCTTCACTGGCTGTGGCATTCCGTTCTTGACTCTGCCCAGTGGTGGTACTTTGAGCCTCCGTTGCAGGGTATGATGTGTCCCAGTGGGCGAACATTATCCTTCGGGCTTGAATAAAGGTGTTGCTAAAGGAGGATGAGGTAGTGCCATGGTCTACGAGGGCTGTCGGACCTCAGGGATTTCCTCGGGACTGTCCAGAAGGTTTGTTGGCTCTTGGGTGTTAACGTAGTTCCTAGCATGGTGTCACACTTCTGCTTGTGGAGCAGTTCAGAGCGCTCTTTTACCTTAGGGCTGAAGGATAAGGAAATGGCACTTTTGTACCATGTTTCTTTACAGGAATTGTGCTACTTATGATGAGACTATTTAGCTCGTGATCTGGTGTAGCCTCGAGGTATCAGTTAAAGTTGTGCTGCAGGTCGGCAGGAGTATTCAAGGGACAGATGCAAACGTCAGGTTTAATTGAATTGGAAATTTCATTTTGGAATTTGTCTATGAACTCATATATCATTTATTTAAGACTTGTATAAACTGTCACTGTAATAGTAAATGATTACTCATGTAGAGCAGGTTGATAAATTGTGTTTAACATGAGGAAAAGCCTACCTAACTGTTAAATAACTTTGCAGAACCATTAAAAAGAAACTATAAGATTATTCTTCTCTAGAAAGATCATCTGTCTAAACAGTAGGTTTTTAATTTGTTCTTTCTGTGCTTAGGGCAACTGAAAGTTTTTATTCAGTAGACTAAATTATACTCTGTTAATGTTTCTTGTAATCTGACATATTTTGGGCACGTAGTCTTTTGTCCTGTTCGGTTGACAGAACTTAACCTTACTGATAAATAGCTTGGGATTTTCCTTTCTGTTAAAAAAAAAAAAAAATAAATTCTTTTTCCTCTCACACTGGAATATATTAAGATTTTAAATTCATAAAATGAGAATAAATCAAGCATTTTAAAAGACTTAGTCATCCCAAGAAGCACTTCTTTTAAAAATAGTTAATCAGTATAATAAATCTAAATACCAGGTAAGTGAGAATAAAAACTTCTATGACTATTACCAGAAACACTGATATTTAGTGATACAGGTTGTAGAGTATTATTGTATGCAGCTGTTACAAAAAGCATCTAACCATTACGTTTTGGTTAATTTATAGAATGCAAACTTCTGTAGTTAATACAAACAATTCTTACCAACTTTCTTATTGATTTGCACAGTACTATAACATTTTATTCCTTGAAAGTTTTAAAAAGCAAGTCTTAAAACAGTCTTAAAATCTGAAAGAAAATGAATTTTTAAAAGGTTAATTAGGAACACAGATGTCATTCTATTTCCAAGAATGTTTGTATTGTTGGGATTTCAGGTGCCTTAGAACTTGCTGATGTCTCTTCTGAGTTACCAGGTTTGAAGAGGATGCCAGGAATTACGAAATGGAAGGTACTTAACCTGGTATTTCTGTGAGGTTCTTGGTCTGCAGTAGGGTGTTACATTAGGGAGATTTTGAAGCGTAGCATTTTAAACCATGAGACTGAGCTGAAGTAGTGATTGGATGGTTAGAGTTCTAGACAATACAGCATTGTACAGGAGAGGGCTAAAAATCTTGCTGATGGTAGTTTCTTGTCTCCTCATTTGCTCTCCCCTTTTTACTGTAGCTTTCTTTGCTCTCTCTCCTTTACTTTCTCAGTATAATTCCCTTTTCTATGGTGAACATGTGGCCTGTAGATGGCAACATAATTTCAGAACAGTTTTTAAGTTATCCCTCCGCCTACTCCATCTTTATAGTCTGTGAGTGTTAGATTATACAGTTCTTCAGCTGGTCCATCTGAATCACTTGGAAGTAAAAGCTGTTAAATACGTTCTGGAAATAAGCTATAAAACCTGCAGTGGTGTGAGTAATCCTAGAATATTAATAGAATTCTGTATTCTGTTCAGGCCTGGAAACAGACTAGTAGAGAGAAGTAAAAAAATCCCAGTGCTTCTTCAGCTTCCTTTTAAGAGTTATAATCAAGAGGAGTAGAAGGCCATCCTCGTAGGAGTGAAAGAAGCTTTGATTAAATTTTAATTATGAGCATGTGTCCTTGCAACACCATTAGTTATTCTGTCTTCTCTCACCATTTCACTAGTCTCTTGCAATTTTGTGCTTGTACCTGAAGGATAAATCCAAAATGCATAACTATGGCTCTCTGATCTTAATTTAGAAATATAGATATATCTATAATACATCTATAGATATATTTAGATATATATCTATATCTCTCTCTATATAAAGATCACTAAGAGTATATTGTATTCCCTGTAACATTTATTTCTCTGTTCACAGTTGAAATATAAGTCTCCCTGATGGGTATTCTTAAGAGCAGACTAATAAAATGTGTTGCAAGTTTGCAAGATTTTCTTCAGCTCTTATTTACTGTATTTTTTCAATCTTGTCAGTGAATGTATTTGCTTGCTTTGGTGCTGTTTTTACATGGTGCAGTCTTCTGTTTCCTTGTGAAACCTGTTTAGTGGGAGCTCTGTGACATTGACTATTCCTGAGCATTGGTTGACTGCAAATCTCTGGAAGCAGCACAATGAAAATAAGGTTTTGTTCAAGGGACGCTGGTGGTTGGAAATGGTATTCAGTAGTCTCTCTTTAAGCCAGACGATGAGTGAACTCCAATGAATTATTTCAGAGTCTTGAAGGAAGACACCCTCTAACTCCAGTTCTGTTAATCTACTTGTGCATCACTTCTAGTCTTGATTCTGCCCTAACGAGAGTGGTGAAAAGTGCACTACAGCAGAGTTGAGTTTGATGCTTTGTCATTCTACTAGTTGCATTGTGTGGTTGGGCTGGTAATCTAAAATCAAACAGAGCAGAGCTGTTAGGCAGTTATTCTGGTACACATCCAAAATAGTTCAGACTTGTTTGAACTGCCGGTTATTTATCAGTCCCATTGTTTATTTCTCCCGAGCTAAACCCATAACTTGCAAAGAACAGTTCAGAAACAGAGTCTATCTCATCTCCATCTTAGCAACATGACATATAGCGTGTTTGGACTTCAAATACTAATTCTGGAAATACAGTCATTTCTATTTCAGGAACATGTAAAGGCACGATATTTAGGTGTGCTCTGATCAAATCTGGCTGAGAAATGTCAGATTTCATGACTCGGAAATCTACGTACCTGACATGCTTAGCGAAATGGTGATCTAAGATAAATCTTACATTTCAGTTTCCAGCAGAACACTTAATTAAACCTTCAAGTCAATCACAGCGAGATTTATGAAAACATTGTATTTGCCAGTCCTGAAGTCACCGTCACTGTGACTTCTTTATTTTGTTGCCTTAACAACAAAAACAAGCTTTCATTTCCATCAATAATTTTATGCTTTTACCCCATGCATCCATGGATGTCACCTTGAGTCCGGTACAGAATCAGTCATCTAGAGCTCTGAAGTAAAATTTTTCCCTGTTTTCTTTGGTTGTGTTTTGTATTTTTTTCATTCTGATATTCTTGCTTAAAGAGCATTCGGCATGCCTTGCTGCAAGAGTTGTAACTCTAACTGCTCATATCCCAGGGATCCTTCAAAAGCTGTGACTCTTAGCTGGAATGAGGTGATATTATGTCTGCACAGTATCTTAGATTGGATTTATAAATGTGTTCTGAGTCCTGAATAAACCTACAGAAATTCAAGTAGAAAATTCAAGGGGACGTAGTTCTTCAGCAACTTTCTTTGAGAGCATTTCTGTCTCTGACCTATGTACACTTGTGTCATGGGGCTCTGTGCTTGCCAAGCTGTTTTGTTTTACTCTTGCATCTTTCTTACATAATGAAACTGAGATTCCTTGTTTCTAGCCTCTGTTAGACTGCAGTAACGTTTTTCTTTTGAAAGCTGCCCGTTGCAGAATGTTTCACAGCCAGTCTCGAAGTAGTAGTATATCCTCAATCTGATTGCTTACACATCTTATATAGTCCACCACTGTCCTTTGTATTTTGGTGTTCTCTATGTTCTAGCAAGTTATCAGAGATCACTGCAGTTGATTCCAGACCAATCTTTACTTCAGTGCATAGTTTTTGAAGCATACAAAGTGAAGCAAAGAGGTACAGCTGGCAAGAGCCTTATGCTTTGTGCAATGCACAAAGGAACAATACACTTTAAAGAGTTTTATTTACTATACCAGCAAAGAACTTCTTGGTATCCAAAGTCTGGATTAAAAATATTTTGATTAAAACCTGTAAAATTGTGACCTGTGTTCTTCACAGTATTTATGTTTACTCCTTTGAAGGTAATGCTGAAAGATGGGCAATGGTTTGAAGAGTGGAAAGATGTGCCTTCAGGCAGACAAACACAAATACGTCCCACTATGTTTCCCGTAAAAGATGAAGAGAAGCTAAAGGCGATGAATCTAGAGCGTTGGTAAGTTTTTCCAGAATATATTTTATGAAGTTTTGATGGTTACCTTGCATGATGAGGGACAAATTATAATTAGGTGAGTTTAGGAATGTGTTGAATATATTTTGATTGTTTCATATATAATGGCAGTACACAACGTTTAAATTCCAGTCAGCTGGGAGAAATTGTTGAAAGATACTTTAAAGGAATAAGTACTGACACAAGCAGGTCATTCTTTGCCATCTAATAGAGATACGTAGCCAAAAGTACAGGAAGGGTACGTAAAACTTGAACGTTTTAAGAGCGGCTTATTTACTATGAAAGACTTTACATAGCTATTCTAAAAATAGTGTTTAGAAACGAGTCATTAGAGTTCAGATGTGAATGGTGAGATGAATGCCTTGCACCGGTGCAAGTTATTTTGCCAGAATGCTCTATTTTAGATCCTATTTCTAGCCTGATAAATTAAACCTGCACAGTCCTACTAGGAATACTTAGTTTACCCTGAAAGTTAATATAAATGTGACACAGTATTTTGTGAGAGCCTGAGTGCTGAATATACTGCAACTTTTTTTTTTCCCCTCTAGTCTTAGGATATTGCCACATCACCAGAACACAGGAGGTTTCTTTGTGGCTGTGTTAATAAAAAAATCTCCAATGCCATGGAATAAACGCCAGCCTAAGGTAACTCCTTTTAAGAGAGCTAAAACATAGACTTTTAATAACATTGCTGGATTTTTTTTGGAAAGTGTACATACTATAACTGTTTTGTATCTGCCCTTTAGTTATAGTTCAAAGTGTTGAAAGAAGTGAAAATCAATTCCTAAATTCCTTAAAATTCCTATTAAAAAAATAGGAAAAAAAAAAGAGGGAGGATTTTGAAATAATAGTAAAATAGCAAGATAGAACTTGAACCCAAAATTAAGGCTTTGAAAGAATTATAGAAGCAGATTAAATTGGGTAGCTGAAGCTGTCGCTTCCTTCAGCTGGGTTGATGTCCCTCTGCTGAAGGCTTTTTTCTGCTCTGTTGTAACCAAATTCTGATTCCAGTTTATCTTACCCTGTGACTGGTTGCTCAGGAGGAATTCGCTAGCAGATTAGTCTAGCAGATGAGCAGCAGAGGGAATGAATGTAAAACTGTTAGGAGCAGCAGCGGCTTCAGCCATCTGACTTTAATCAATTTGTTGTCAATTGGCTTTAAAATCCTGTCAACAGGATTTTAAATTGATGCGATTTATTTCATCTTTTGGATTGTTCATATCTTGGAGAGAAACTTGCTGTGTGAAGCCCTTTTAGCTGTTTCTTTTTATTTGATTTGCTTCATTAGAAGACCCTATGAGTAAAATGTATGTGGCAGTAAGGAGAAAATGTGTATTCAGAAGGAAGCGTCACCCAAATAGTTGATGCTGTTCTAAGGTTAATCTTATAGCACTCTTGCAGAAAGTGTGCAGCATGAGGATGTATTTGTCACTGTGAGTGCTGAGAGGAAAGCAGCAGATCCTGATTGAAAATAGCCTTCTCTGTGAGTGCTCAAACATGATTTGTAAGTGGTAAAAAAAATAGTTTCTTGGACAGTTAGTAAGAAATTGTCCAGATTGGTACTAGAGGGAAGTGCAATGTGTAACGGTTTCTTGACTTTGTAATCGGATTAACTCCTGAAATGGACTTACATACAAATTGGTAAGAAGTAAGCACACGCAAAGAGAGAACGGAGGTACCATTTGTTCCAAGTTGCATACTGCTTTTGCTTTGTTGAAAATACTATAATTTTGAATAGGTTCATCAGAAGTTACCACAAAGAACAGGAGATACTGAAGTGACAGCGACTAATTCAGATAGTGGCTCTGAATGCATTACTGAAGAACCAGCTCTTTCTGAAAATGAAGAGTCTAAGAAAATGCAAGAATCGCAGAATTCAGACACTGAGCAGAGCAAAAAGGAGGGAGTGTGTGGGTAAGAGACCATTTCTAAGTATTTGTCCGGTGACAACTTTCTGATTGCTGAGTCTTCTGTAGTTCTTTTGTTACTGGACTCATTTAGAGGTTGATCAAGAAGAATTAACGAGTTTGCTCAGTTGTCCTGTTTCCATGTTTTCTGTCTTGTATTTCAGCAAGTTCGGAAAATAACCACTTCTCTTACTAGCATTTGCAAAGTCTGTTAGTCCTTTCTTCTCTGTTAAGGAAGAAACTACTTTCAGAAGTTAACCTTTGGAATACCTTTGCTGTATTCACAATTACCCCCTCAGAAATCTCTGTTAACTTTGGATTGTGGTTTCTGCTTTCAAGCACTCTTTTGCTTCCTCATTTTAAGAAGTTTAATTGTGGGTAGTGTTGAAGCACAGGAAAATGACAATATTCTGTTTGGCATACTATCATTACCATAATGCAAGTGTTGACCGAATGAACTGAATATACTGATTTTAAGCCAAGCACTTTTAGTAAAACTAACGATGCAATGGTATTTTCTTTTTAGACCACCACCATCTAAAAAAATGAAGTTGTTTGGTTTTAAAGAAGACCCTTTTGTGTTTCTCCCAGAAGATGATCCGTTGTTCCTTTCTATCCAGTAAGAAAAAAATGTTTCTGTTTTGGCACTAAGATTCCTAGTAGTTCAGTTCATCACAAAATATGAGTCTAGTTGGTCATACATAAAACTTTTTCCTTAACTTTGCCCTAGATGCCCTTCTTCTCAACCCTTAAACTCTTCTTAAGTGAAAATAGCCAACTATAGTTTGCATTGTAAATTTTCGAGTGTATCTTAGTGTCTGTGACAGCTCTCTTGTGATGTTTCTTCTGATGTCATCCATCTTAGAAAGTTTTATCTTTGTGTTCTGGAGCCAAAGTGTTAAGTGTTTGCAGAGACAATTTGAGCAAATGGACTGCTCAGTAAATCAAAACAAATATTATGGCCACAGGAAGTTTTATGCATTGGACCCATCGTTTCCCAAGATGAACTTACTAACTCGAACTCAAGAGGGAAAGAAGAGACAGCTATACATGGTTTCTAAGGAGCTGAGGAACGTGCTTCTGAACAACAGTGAGAAGATGAAGGTATGGTTCATCTCTTCAGGTTTTCACCGTGGAGGTCATAAGCATCCGTGGATCTCTCCCTGAACTTTTTTGCCAAGCTCATTGTTTCTCTAAAGGATTAGTCCTCTGATAGACTTTTTTTTTTTAAGTCTGGATAAATATTTTCCTCTTTATCCCTCCCCTCTGTTAAAGAGATGAATGGTTGTATCTGAGAGGTAATTAACAGTCTCCAAGATTAAAATTGGTAGGTTGTTTTGGCAGATGGAAGGGAACTGGGAGGAAGGGAGTATATAACCACTCTGTGTGTACCAGCATTTTTTTTGTGGACTTAGGTGTGCTCACGGGTTTACATTGACACGGTTGTATTCATGAGCCCCTTATTTATAAAAGTATTAAGAGCTCTGAAAGCCTACCAAAACCTAATGGATAACTTCAGCTGAATTGTTAGCTGGCTCTGTGACATGGGGATGTTGTTTCAAAGCAGTTTCAACAACTGAAGATTTTGAAAAGTTGTTAAGCTGAATATAATGGGACAAGAAGTAGTTTTTGTGAATTGGAGGGAAAATTACATTAATTTATTTTTCAGTATGACTCCCCATGGAAAATACCTTGCAAACGCTAAAGGTTTGTCTTAATTGTGGAATAATTTAAGTTAGAACAAGGTCATCCGGTCCAGCTTTCTTCCTGCCCCAAGCAGAGCTTACTTCAAAACTAGATAAGATATAGTTTGGGGCCTTGTTCAGTCAAATCTTGGAAATTTCCAAGGATATTAATTACATCTTTGCAACAGATCTTTGAGATGGGTAAATAATTACCCTTTTGTCCCACATGCAGGAAGTGGCTACATAATTGACAAAATTTTAGGAAACTGGTGCATTATATTAGGCAGTGAGACTTTGAGTACCACAAAGGATATAGTGTCCTAATATTAAGCACTTGTGCGTTTTTTAAAATGCTATCCTTGGTTGACTTTCCCAGAATCACCCAGAAAATTCTTACTCAAACCGAAGTGAAAATTAGATCTTTAATAGTTCATTGCCCTCATTTTAAGACTGCCGGTGTTCAGTTTTCAACGTGGAAGGGAGTAAAAGGCATTTATGTTGAGAGAGACCTACACTGTGATAGTTGGAATTCTTTTTGCTCTCGAATGAATTTTCACAATAATTTAATTCAGCGTTCAGCACAAACGAACAAATGTCACAGCAGAATTATCCTTTCTTCGTCTTTTTAGTCAAATAGTTGAGGATAAACAAAGTTCAGAGTGTTAATTTAGAACTCCTACTCCTTAATAACGCTTATTGGCTTTGCCGTTTGCAGGTTATTAACACGGGGATAAAAGTCTGGTCTCGCAACAGTGATGGTGAACAGTTTGGATGTGCTTTCAGACTAGCACAAGAGGTAATTACGCAGTGTTGTGTTTTCAAAGGAGATACTTTGGTTTCCTCTAGAGCCTGTATAGCACAGCTGGCAATAACTTTGTCGGATTAATAATCATGTGCCTATTCAGTGTGGTTTAAAATGGGAAAACTGTTTAAGGATATTAGCTAAAGGACATAGTGGTTTTAACATTTTTTCCTTCAGAAAGCAGAGATTGCATTTTGAAATAATTATATTTGTTTATTAAACAGGGAATTTATACTCTGTACCCGTTCATTCATGCAAGGATTGTAAGTGTCTGCATAGAAGATGTTAAAATTCTGCTAACCCAGGAAAATCCATTCTTAAGTAAATTTAGCAGTGAAACACAGAAGAAAGTCAAAGACATGGGTAAGCCTTCGGATTTGTGCTATTACAAAATGATTATTGCATGCTACATGGAAGGCTGTGAAAGTCCTGTCACACAAACTGTGTTTGCTAAAAATTTTGACTGAATTTATCTTAAATGTACTTGTTAATTAGATAAGTAAGCCTTACGGAAACTCAGTGTGCTACGAGAAGCTGTAGTCCTTTCTGACCGCAGCCTGTAAGTTTTATGAACTCTAGAGAACGGAAGAGTTGCCAAACTTTCGACTTCTGTGAAGCAGCATTTAAAATACCTGTTGAACAAAGATTTTTTTATATGCTACCGATCTATCAAATATGGTTATTCAGATTTTATTTTCTTAATCAGGGGGAGCGGTGTGTACTCATATAAAATTTTTATTTCCTCTATGCCAGATGCTTGAAGAAGTGAAGACTGATTGTCAGTCTTTTGTTGTTTTATTTCCAAGTCATCTATGGTCTTTATACTTCAGGGTTTGATGAGGCAAAACAGAAAGAACAATTTTTCTTAAGTTTGGGCTGACACACTCTTCTGCTCAGTTTGCTTTAGTAAAAGTTCCTTGCTGGATTCACTGAGTAAATTAATCCATTATGTGGTTTTGTATTCTAATTTGTTTCTTTGGGATTTGGGAGGGGGCAGGGTTGGCAATAGCTTTTGTTAACTATATAAAACCTGATGTTGTCTGTAGTTTGCTGATGTAGATTACTGCTAATCAACCCATGCTGTGTGGCTATCTAAAAACTTGTTTTCTTGAACATTTTTAAATTATAATCATGTTAGTGTTGTACCAAGTAACACATCATTTTGGTTTTGTTCTCCCCTACCCGTCTTCTCTGTAGCGATGGGAAGTATAGTTCTGAAGTACGACCCAGACCCTGAGTAAGTAGATGTGTTGATTTCCATTTGCACAGTTTTAAAACTCGGACAAGAATTCATTTTCATTCAGCAAAAACAGAAGTCAAGGTGCAGAGATGGAGTGAGATTAACAGTAAAAGCCAGACAGGATACAAAGAGGATGACACGGGAAGGAGCTATCTTGCCTGCTTATTCTTAAAACAATTGTTTAGGATTTGGCTTTCTAAAGGAGAGCTCATAGTTCTGCCAGAGGTCTGCAGTATCGCTGCGTGTGACTTGGTTTGTTTGTTTCCCTGTGAAGTCCAGCATCTGGAATAGAAAAAGTGAAAAATTTTTCATTGTTCATTTTTGTTGATGAGGTAGTAATAGAAGCTCGTGAGAACTTTTTAAATGTAAACTACTTTCACCTTGCTGTTGCTTGTATTAATTTTGAAACCAGAGCCAGAAAATTATTTTGCCTGTTGCAGAAATTTAATAGCATTGAGCTTTTTTTTTTTTTTTTTCCGCTTGCTTGTAGACGAACAGGTGCCTATTCAGATATTGAAGTTAAGACCAATATCCTTGCATCTTCTATGAATACTTATAAAATACATTCACTGTTAAAGATTGTGCACATATTTATCAGGGTATAAAATCAAGATTTGTAGATTAACTTTCTCCTAGTTGACTGAAATGTAATTGCTTATTTACAGAAAACCTGATGATCTCCAGTGTCCTATAGTGCTGTGTGGTTGGCAAGGAAAGACATCACTCCGTGCCTTTGTGCCCAAGAATGAGAGACTTCATTACCTGAGGATGATGGGAGTTGATGTGTTTAAAGCAAAGAGGAAAGAAGAGGACTCAGAAAGTAAAACAGAGGAAGAAGTTCAGCACACGCTGCCACAAACAGAGGAAGGAATGGATGTGGAAGAAAAAGAACATGATGTAGTCACAAAAATGGAAGCAGAAATAGATGAAGAATCTTCCCACAGTCCTGTGGAAAGCACTGCTATGGAAGTAGAAAATAAAATAGAGGATGTAGATCAATCTAGTAAAAATGCCAACGGTCATGTAAGCCAGGAAAGCAAAATCACAGATACGAGTAATGTGAAAGATTAGGTATTCTTTCTTTATTATTTGGCAGCTTCTGTGAGGCTCACATCCAGACTCTTAGCACGGAAGTGTATGTTAAAATTTTGTTTGGAATGGGATGTTCCTCTTTTAAAGTTTTGCCAGTTTTTATTTTTTAAACTATAAAGAGATTTCTCTTCAAGTGTGTCTTCTTTTTACCATTTTAAGCTTCATATTGCTGGTGGGTTTGTATGTCTGTTGCTGGCAACTGACCACACACCAGTAAAAGCTAAAGGCTGTATTTAAGATGAGTTAATGGTATGTGTAAATGAGCTGCCTGTCAAGAATTTCTTCAGAAGAAGAAACTGGAGTTTCATTCAAAGCACGTAAGTTGTAGAAAAACTTTTTTCTCTTAAGATTGCTTACCCCGCCTACAACCCAATCTGATTATTACTTATGCAGGTTCTTTAATGGGTAAGGGAGTCGGTATGAATAGGCATACAAATGCATATATAGGACAAACAACCTGGGTAACTTATTCGAAATAGAACTATGCAAAGCATCCTGGGGGGAAAAAAATATGCCAGACACTTCAGTCTGAAAATCTTCTTCAGAGTGATGAATGGCTTGATGGGCACAGCTTGTAAATGTCGTTAACCAGATCTTCAGATATGCTGAGCGTGCCTCAAACCCACATCTTGAAATCTGCCCGTGTAAGAGTTTGTGACTGTCCCTCGAATCTACTGCAGTCATCTGTTGCCCTCTCATTTCTTCAAGCGGGAGTCATCTTCAATTTTTGCAAGAAACTTGTTTATAGCTGAAATAACAGTTTTTCAAAAAAAGTTTGGTAGTATATATATTGTTGTATAGTACATGTTTAAAAGAGGTTATTTAGGTCCAAAAGAGTAATTCACTCAATCTGACTATAAATAAATAAATGAATGAAAATTAGGTGGCTACCTCAGAAACTTCTAAATTCCATCCTTTGTGACTTAGTTTCAGCAATACTTTACATACTTGTATGGATTTGAAAGGAAGGTTGACCCGTGGTACAAAGTATTGTCTTCTACCAGGGCTGTGGTGTTGCAAACATTTGTGTTGCTTGTCAAACTGAATTTTAATGTGTTTATTTTTGTTGATGAAGTCCTATTGTGGCTTGGGTCTGTGTGCTGTACCTTGCTGCAAGAGACTTTCTGATGGCTACCCTTGAACTATTTCGCCAAAGAGAGTATTCTTGAGGGAGAGATGTAAAAGTGAAATAATGCCGTGTCTTCTGATACTAGTCTTATGCAGTGACGAGCCATTGACAGGACTCATTTTTCTCTCGAGGGTCCGTAAAATAGGTTAATAAAATACCAGTTCTCACCCTTGTGTTTTGCAAAGATTTGAGTTTATTCTTTGAATCGGGAGCTGCTATTGGACAGGTGCTTTTATGGCAGCTCCTTAGACTGAAGAGCAGCGCAGCAGAATTTTCTTTAGAATGGAGGTGTGTGTGCAAAGTATAATTTTTCATTCTTAAAGTATATGAGGAAAAGAGTTAGAGGCCTGGAAGACCAGTGTCATGTTGAAGTCCTCTTTTGCATCACAGTCTGCAGTACTCAGCCCTGAGGATGGCTGGTTTTAATCCAGCTAATCTTTTTATGCTCTAATGATCTCCATAAATTATCAGAAGGTTGAGTGTTAAAACTGATGGGGAGGAACGAGAATTTGATTTGAATTCTGCTTGCTGTTACTGTATCCACTAGATGACCCTAAGCAGCCCTGTAAGCTTCCTTTCAGTCAGTGGCTCTGCTAAGGATACAAGCTTATGACAAGTTAAGCTGATAAGAATACCTGTTGGTATAGACAATCCAGACAATTAAGTCAGCAAAAAGCTAACTGTGTTGAAAATGAACAGGCCTGATTATCTTTTTTGACAGCTTACCACTGGCAGATTCAAATGAGAGTAGAAAGCTTTTATCTGGGAGCTAAAGAAAAGTACATTCTTGGATCATAAACTGACTGAAATGGGGTATAACTTAGACTAGTAATAGAATAAGAGCCCCCATCTGCATAATTTAAAATCCTTTGAGTAGTCTCATTTTGCTATATTATAGATGAAATTTTGCTTCGCTCTTGGCTTTTGGGAGAGGTTTTTTTTTTTCCTGTTAAGTGCAAGTGGGAGATTTCAGACTAGAAACCGTGAGTCTGATTTTCTTGCGCTGATCAGCACATTTACTCTGTATCTCCAAAAAAACACAGAGATGGCAAATTTTATTTTTTGTTTGTGGTTTTTAAAATACTGTGAGTTTACTTACACCAGTTGCTCTGTCCCAGTTCTCTTGCCTTGACTGCTGGAAAGGAAGATGCCCAAAACTCTTAAGCAGTGGCTGACAACCCTGCCCTAGCTTCCTGGGGTGGGGGCCCGATGAAACGGGGGTTTTAATTGTGTGTCTGCTGAGCTATGTACTGCAGCTCCAGTGGTCAAGTAGCTGAACCTCTGGGTGGTTTTGAACAAGGGCTACTGCAAATAGTTTAAAAGGAAGATGAAAGAGAAAGCTTGTTCATTTGAAAATGTGAAAGTTTCAAAAATCACCAGATTTGGAGTTCATAAATTAAGTCCGTCCTTGTAAGCAGTGTCTGCTGAGTGTTGTGAGATTTCTCTGACTAATGTTGCTGGGGTTTAGAAACACAGGGCTGTAGATGTTTGCGTTGACGGCAGGGAGTTTTAAGTCTGATAGAAGGGGAAACAAGAAAACCTCCATCTAAAGTGAATAGTCTGATTGTGTTCTTAGAGATGCCTTCAGGAGAAGCTGCTGGAGCCTTCAGAAAATAATCTGTTAACTGAAAAGCACAGAAAGAAAATGAGGGGGAAAAACCACCACATGGGATACTCCTTTGTAGCTTTTTTTCTGAAGTATTTACCTAACGTTAGCCATTGCTTTGACAGTTTGTTACAATTTTCATACTTCAGTTTGCTGCAAATTTAACATACTGTACTTTAGTGCCACGGGGGTGACTTGTTTTTTTTTTCCTTAAACATCTGAATCCTATTAAAAGTCAATGAGACTTCTCAGAGTACACAGATCTGAAAAATCCCTGCCTATAAACTTCAAGTTGAAACACAGCAGTAAAAGAAAGCCATTTAGCTCCTGTAACAACCCCAATCTGTGGAAAATCAGTGCATTTCTTTCTTCCAGGGGGAAAACTCCGCTTGAGGAGAAAACAAGTGACGGCAAGCTCGCACTACGCTGCTGTGAGAGCCAGGCTGGGCATGCTGTCTTGTCCTACTCTCCAGAAAAAATCCCGTAAACAACCCCCGGCAAAGCAGCACGGGTACAACGGCGGTTCTGTTATTTCCCAACAAACGTCCCAATGAAGTCGGCTGCTGCACTGGCAGCACCTCACGGGTTTGCCGCTCTGCTTTGCAGCTGGCAGTGGGGACAGCGGGTAGGCATGTGGTGTGGAAGGACCTGCAAGGCCAGACAGGGGTGCGAGGCAACCCCCTGTCCACCCTAAGCACCGGCAGGGGGCTGTTTTGGAGGGAGCGAGGGCAGCCTGGGCGCTGCGCGCACCCGCAGGGTGCAGCATTACACGCAGGGTGTCCACACATCAGTCACTTCAGGTGGATTTTCCACGCCTAGCACTCATCCTTATATCAAACATGGTTGTATTTAATTGTTATTTAATTTGTTGTTCTGTGTTTCTTAAATCCGAGGGGGTTTTCTTGACTAAAATCTGGTTTATTTTTACGTGTGGCTGCTTGTGTTAGGGATTTAAGTTTCTTACTTCTGCACTTCTGGTATTCCTATTCAGTTACATTTAAGCAGGCTGTTGGCTACATAGGTATTTGCCTATAATCCTTTTTTCTTTGAATGAGTTATCCATGTGTGGCTTTGACAGGATGAGTAGCTGGCGTTTTCTCTGCTGCAACTTCTGCCTGTTGCCTCTCGTCCTGTCTCTGTGCTCCCTTTGGAAAAGTTTGGCTCCATCTTCTCTGCAACTCCCTGTTGGGGTGTCAAAGAGAGCAGCTGAACAACCCTTAACGGTGTTTTCTCTAGGCTACACAAGCCCAGCTCTCTCTCTCTCCTCCTCCCATCATTTATAGCCTCCTAACTATCTCAGTGGGACTTCACTGGTCGGCCTTTCCAGCTTCTTGGCACATCTTCCAATGAGGAACCTATGCTGGACGCAGTTCTGCAGGTACAGCCTCACAAGCATCAAGTAGAGGATAATAATCACTGACTACCTCATGACTGTTTTAAATTTCAAGAAGTTTACGCTGCTGCATTTATTCTAGAATACTCTTGGTGGGTTTCCGTGCCTCATAGCTTCATTTCATTTTCATATTCTAATTTTTCAAATTGCTTTTCTCTCTTGATGACAGAAAAAAATCTGTGCAGCTGTGCAAAATGTGCCAATTTACTGAACAAGAGGATATAACTAGCTTTGTGCAAAGTTCTCTTGAGTACAAAAGGAAGATGAAATGCAGAGATTCTTCAGTAGTCGTTGCTTAGGGGCATTTTATGTGGTGACACACTCATGATGATGTAAATTATTTTGAATGTTGATTTTTAAAAATATATTTAATGTATGGATCACCTTTAGTGCAAAGATACGTATTTTCTTTTCTGACTCAAAATACATACCTCAATGCAGAGAGGGTCTCGAACTCATGGGAATGCCTTATGATTTCCACTCAGTGGACCAATAAATTGTTCTAGAAAGAACAGGCTATGGAGGCAGAAAACCATGTTTTTCAGCTCTGTGTGCGTTACAAAATGGAGCCCAAGGGCATGACTGCATCGGGGTCAAAAAAGGAAGAGCCAGAAGCTCCCAGCTTCATCCACTGCCTACACATGTGTGTCCTGCAGACAAAGAGTGAGTGCTTTGAGTCTCACTGGCTGGGTCAGTGTATGATGGATCTGCTCTTGGGGGACAATCTCAAAGTACTAGTGAAACAAGAATGCAAACTGCTCCTTGTTGCCTCACCTGAGCTCCTGTCTGGATTTCTGAGAGGGGCTCTTTGCCTTAGCTTGAAATCCTCTTAAGCCGTTGTATTAGGGTTTTAGGTAACAGAGTTTCTGATCCTGAGGGGGGTTGAATCCAACTAACTTCCCCATTCTAGGAAAAAAAAAAAAATTACTGAAAGGATAACTGTGGTAGAAGGATGGATGGAAGATAATGTGCTTGCTTAGGTTTGACCTGTTGCTAAGGGGC